TGAGCAGTGCCTCCCCTGTGGGAGAGCACTGACCACCAGGGGGCAACTCCTGCATTGAATGTTTGCCCTCTGGTGGTCAGTGCAAGTCATATCAACTGGTCTTTCCACTGTTCATTCAATGTGCATATCTGGGTTTTATTATATAGGACTAGATCCCATCCCCTCTGCTTACTCAAGGACATTGCTTCAGCAATTCTCCCCCATCCTTACGTACCAAATTGTCATCCTCTGGAGGCAAATTCCTATCCGCACACAAATGTTTATTTCTCCTGTCTTTTCTTGACTACACTTCCCCTGCCAGCTACTGTTTATTTTCTCTGTTCATCTTTCAAACAAAACTGGAAAGAGTCCTATATATTCACTGCCTCCAATTTTGCGCCACCCTACTGAAACGGGTCAAGTCACCGTCTCCATGGTTTCGGCAGGGCCAAGGTGAACTCTCAGTGCTAATTGTACTTGGCTTAGCAGCAGCATCTGACTACTTAAGCACTCCCTCCTGCCTGAAATCCTTAGTTTCTTTGGTTTTCCTCTTATCGCACTTGTTCTTTCTTGGTCTTCTTTCCTAGTTCTTCTTCTCCTCAATCTCTTAATGTCCCAGGACTCAATCTTTATTTTTCTTCTCTTCTGTCTAAACTTATACCCCTGAAGATTTCATCTGCTCTTTTTTTTTTTTAAATATATTTTATTGATTTTTTACAGAGAGGAAGGGAGAGGGATAGAGAGTTCAGAAACACCGATGAGAGAGAAAACATCTTCTCAGCTGCCTCCTGCACATTCCCACTGGAGATGTTGTGCCTTTAAATAACATCAATAAGTTAAACACCCCCAAATTTGTATGGATCACCAGCCTCTTCTCAGAATTTCTGGATCCAATGGACAGATCTAACTCAATACGCCCCGAACGGAATTTTTCATCTGCTCTTGTGCCGTTAAATAGCATCAGTAAGTTAAACACCCCCAAATATATATGGATCACCAGCCTCTTCTCAGAATTTCTGGATCCAATGGACAGATCTAACTCAATACGCCCCGAACGGAATTCCTGATCCTTCCTGCCAGACAGCCTTACCCAAACATCTTTGCCGAGGATCACTCCATTCTGAGTGACGCAGCCCTCCAGCCACTGCTCTGGCCTGCCACGACCTCTTTCCTAACTCATAGCCCAGCTCACTAGGGGGCTCCTTTTTTATCCCTCAAACGCACAAGCCTGCCCCCACCTGAGGGCTGTTGTTCTTGCTTCTGCCAGGACTGCCCACAGCCACAGAGCTGGAATGCCCACATCCAGAGAGCTGCTCAGCTAACTCTCTTCTTCAGGGTTTTGCTCAGACGCCACCTTATCTACTGCTGCATCCTGCACCCCACCCATTAGTCCCGACTCCTTATAATGCTGTGCTTCTCACCACAGCCCTTCCCCTTGACATGTGCTTGTTATGTGTAGTGTTTGTATTCAGCCTCCTTCTGCTAGAATGTAAGATCCTCAAGGGCAGGGACCTTTACATTTTGTTCTGTGATGTATCCCAAACTCCTACAACAGTGCCTGTCACAGAGCAGGCACTCAACAAATATTTGTTGAATGAGTGCCCTGATTAGCAATGTCTACAGAGTTGGGTGCGGTGGGTGGAGATGGCCATGAATCCAGATTGCACCCCAAGAGAGACTCAGTCACCTCTGTTCTGGCTACTGCTGCATGTCTACTTGTAACTGCACTGACCACATATAGGTTTGTCTCCCCTCCAGTCTATGAATGGGCCCCACCACGCTTTTTTGTGAATCCCCAGCACCTTACACAGACATTTACAGTAACATATCACGTGAGAAAATGCTCTGTAAACTGCAGACAGTAAAACATAGCATTACCATCATAGGTACAATCAAGTACTTGAATTTGACAATCTCACAAGGTTATTTTTAGGACAAATGATAGCTAACTCATGTAGAAGTTATTGCCATTATTCTTCATAGTTTTTTAAAAACCGATTTATAGAATAATCTAATTGATCTGAATTCAAAAACACAGGACTCCAGTTACTACAACTCTTTTGAGAATGAGATCTTTAAATATGGATTAGAGTTGAATTGAAAATATTCTATCTTCTCACTTTGGATTTTTTGTATAATGATATTTCTAAAGTATCTAATGATTATTAGTGCATGTATATAATAATCCCTGTGTTTTAGACAGGGCCTAGTATATTTTTAAGGGCTTCTAATTCTATGCCGAAACCGGTTTGGCTCAGTAGATAGAGCGTCGGCCTGCCCCTGTGTTTTAGACAGGCCTAGTATATTTTTAAGAGCTTCTAATTCTAAAGATATTCCATAGAATATTAAAATGTTTCCATTCCAAATTACTATGGGAAGGAAGCAATCTTTCCTTTGTTTAATTCCTGAGGGGCCACTATTTTCATCTAACTTTTTTTTTTGTAGCAAAGACAGTTTTATTGATTGAGAAGGCTAAGCTCAAGAAGATGGGAAAACTAATTATTAAATCCATCTTTCATCTAACTTTTCTATATCAAGAGGAGAAAATTTTCTTTCCATTTTACCTTTGACTGACAGCAATTATCGCAAGAAACTTCTGGGTGTTTCTTACAAAAATCAGGATTAAATCCAATTTCACCAAAGTAAGCCAAAAGCTGTATCCGCCTGCATTCTGTTATATTTTCACAGTAATGCACCATACTATACAAATTATTAAAATGAGTTTCTCTTGTATGATGGTTTCCATCTTTTTCCACTAAAAGAAATGAAGAACACAGCAAAACAGACTTATTAGAGTAGAAAAACAAAAGAGAATATCACAGAAATATTTCTAATACATTCATGTTACTTTAAATATTAAATGAAATAATTATTAATAGCATTATATACCAACATGACATTCTATATTATAATTAACGAAATATTCATGGCCATCCCTTAAGATATTGGTTTTATAGGAATAAATGTAGATAGTCAGAAGTATCTGAAAATATTTTGCAAATCTTCATTATTCTCGATGATGAAGATTTGCGTGATATGCGCATGATACTAAAACCCCCATATTTATATAAGCATTTCTGTTTTTCTGTAACTAGACCAAAAGTACCACAACAGCAGAAGTAGGATCCCACTGTCGCGAGGCTGAAGGGGGACTTACTCAGTATAAGTCTCTTCAGTCTGGTCACATCATAATAGGTATAGAAAAGCAGGCAGTGAGATATCTCCCCGTCTCTTCCAGCTCGGCCAGATTCTTGGTAGTAACCCTCCACGGATTTAGGGAGAGACGCGTGGATCACAAATCGCACGTCGGGTTTGTCGATCCCCATTCCAAATGCAATTGTTGCACAGATAACCTGATGTACGAGCAAAAGCCTATTAGCCTCATAATGCATTAAAACAGTCATTTTAATAACAGATGCTCCTCAAAGCTTTCTCTTCTATTTTAAGATGCACTCTATACAACAATCTAGAATCTTAACTTGGTCCCATTATTTAGCACAACTAATAGGAGATTTCCAGATTGGCAATCTGCAGTTTTATTGAGACCCAAGAAGGTACAGAGACGCTCGGTGGGGCAGGCATCTTCTTGTGTGACCTGGCTCTGTCGCCTGAGGGAGCCAGAATCGATAGCAGCCACCTCTCAACGTGCTGTCGCTGTTTGTTCTCACGTTTCTGACGAGGTGGTGTGAGTGCCGCGCACACGGCCGGGGTATCCAGGCCAGTGATCGGACCGTGCTTCTCAGGAGCTCAGGTGTTCCCAGGGCTCGAGCGTCCAAGGTCACTGCTGCCAGCTTCTCTGATGATTCACCGGTTCCGTGTGTACCATCTCTTCTCCCAGTGACAGCAGCTGATCCTACAGCAGCTTCTTTCATTCATCAGTGAATTGCAGTCAAAATGTGAAGATTTTATCAAAACTCATGTGAGTAAAAGTCTGAGTTGTTTATACCAGGAAAAGACTGGACACCCTAGATCTTGGCCTATGCAAATTACTTAGTAGAAGCAAGGTGACAGTTAAATTTCCGGAGCTTGATAAATCAGTGTAGCAAAAAATCACCTTCAAGAATATCCATTTCCTTTGCAAATGTAGGGCCTATTTAACCCAGACAAAAACATGGTATCTCCAGGCAAAATTGCATGATATAAATAAAGCTATTTTTAAAAGATTAATTGCTACAGCAAAAACGGTATTTCAAAAGCAAATGAACTATCTGGCAGCCAGACTGAGGCTAATGCCACGATCTGAGTGACTGTGAATCCCAGAGAAGGGAACTGAAACCTATGGAGCACGTGCATGGCAAATGGGGACATTCGTCAATGTTGGGAATGGCAGCAGCCTGCAGTCTAGGTTCGTGGTCCATCTAAATTTATGGCACTTTGATCAAAAGCAAAGCTCCTTGGAAAGAGGAAGTGTAGTGGTGGAGAGCAGATAGACTTCGGAGAAAGATGTCCCAGCCCACAAGCCCACAGGGTGTGGTCCACAAGGTTCCAAGAACCCGACATGGGGCGGATACATGACTCAAGGCCACAGATGACAGCCAACTCCTTCCGAAAGCCTTTACCTGGAAAACTGGCTTTGTTTAGTTGTTACTTCCTTCTTTATTTCTGTATTGCTTTTAAAACTTCAGGCTATCATCATTTCTTGGTGAAGAAAAACAACCAAGTTTTATTCTAGTTCACAAATCTAACAAGACCAAGGCTGTCCAGTAGGCTACACCCTGACTGTAAGGATTACCTTGTCTGAGAGTAGAAAACAATTAGATTTTAAAAATATTTTTAACCAATTTTTAAAAACCATATTTTTATCAAAGTGTTTTATATTTATTATATATGTGTGTGTGTGTATGTGTGTGTGTGTATGTATATATGTGTATATATATATATGTATATTGTAGAATATTTATACTATGTATATATTTTTAAATTCTCACTTGAGGACATTTTTTCCATTGATTTCTAGAGAGTGGAAAGGAGGGAGAAGAGGAGGGGGGAAAGAGAGAGAGGGAGACAGAGAACAAAAAACATCGATGTGAAAGAGTCTGCCTCGCTACCAGGGCTGGGGAACCTGCAACCAAGGTTCGATTCCCTTGACCAGGAATCGAACCCAAGACCCTTTGGTCTGAGGGCTGATGCTCTAAACACTGAACCAAACCAAATTGGTCAGGGCTATATATAAAGATTAAAGAAGTTTAAAAAAATCGGTTTCTTTTTTTTCTTGTCTATTTTTTTATTCAATCTTTGTTATGGTTGAGATTACACACTTTTGAAGTCTACATTTCACTACCTTTCTCCATCATGAACATTTCATATCACTAAAAAATTCTTCAGAAACCATTTTTAACGGCATGAATGTAGTGCCATAAGGTGCCCATTCATTCTCGCAGGACATTTAGGCTCTTCAGTGGTAAGATGTTATTGGGGTATTTACTATTAAAGATCACACTGACGTCGATTCCAAGCTCACAAGTCAGATTTGAGGCTCTTGATAAGAGCCCACCATACTGTTTTCCAGAAAGGCTGTCATGAGCACCAGGGACCTGCCTCTTCCACCACTGTCCCCAACAGTTAGTAAAAGTTTGCGCAAGAGGTGAAAATGATCTCTCACTATTTTAAATTTGAATTCCTTTGAATATTAGCAAAGTTGCATTTAAAAAAGCATTTGAATTTGGCCTTTTATAGTTTTTCCTATCCAATAGTCTCTTTAAAAAATATATATATATATATACATATGTATGTGTGTGTGTGTATATATATATATAATTGGTTCCAGAGAGGAAGGGAGGAGAAATAGAAACATCATTGATCAGCTGCCTCCCGCACGCTCCCCAACTAGGGATCGAGCTTACAAGCCGGGCATGTGCCCTTGAACGGAATCAAACCCAGGACCCTCAGTCCGCAGGCCGACGCTCTATCCACTGAACCAAACTGGCTAGGATTCCAATAGTCTCTTGATGGCCTATAGGGTAATTTATTAAGACTCATGTTTTTCTTATCAAATTTTTACAAGCTCTCCATTATGTTTTACTTGCTGAAAATATAATTCCTAGTTTGTTGCTGCTTATAATTTTATTAATACAGAGGCATAGAGCTCTCTAGGTATCATTTCTGTGATTACTTAGTTTTGGGCTATTTTTAAGTTTAGGTTCTCTTCTACTCAGAATTCATTCATTTAAAAATAGTAATATTTTTATTTACCTGTAATTAATTTTGATACGAGGATCCAAAATGATACCAGTAGAATAATCTTCCTTTCCTCATTTAATTTTTAATACATTCTTTATTATATACTGGTTTTACATGTTTCCCAGTCTGTTTCTGAATTTGTTTCATTGATCTGTCTATGTTATAATATAGCCGTGTTGACGTGTTATTATTTTCTTGCCAAATTCTTTTAGTTATCTTCACTTGAATATTCTTCCAGGCAAACTTTAGAAAAAAGTTTATCAGAGGAAAAAAATACTAGAAATTTGATTAAATATATAAATTGATTAGAGAAGATTGACATCTGTATTTCAGAGACCATAAATCAATGATCTATTTTCTGAACGTTTACATATGTGAAAATGCCTTCCTGTTGTTTTCAACATAAATAATATTGAGCTGGGTATGAAATTCTCTAGTTCCAGCCTTCCCATTTCTGATTCTAAAAACAGTCTATTCCTGTTTTTTTAAATATGTATTCAGTGAAACATCCTTAGGCATGTCTGTTTTCTGTTCTTTGTAGAGTAAATCTTGATGAATATAATTCTTTAGGTTTGCAAATCAGAGTGAACTATATCTACATGTAAGTTTCCCCCCAGTGATTTTTGTCTTTTAAATTTGTTATATATTTACTTATAGCATATTTTAACTATCCTGATTTCTTCCTTGGGTACACTTATTATTTGTAAGCTAAACCCCTATCCCCTGTCACCAACAAGTATCATATTTTTACTTTTCAATTTCCATCTGTTTTCTTTTTCTTTCAACCTCATAAATTTCTGACGGGGATGTAAAATTCTGTAGTTTACATTCCCATCAATTCAAACAAAGTCTTATACACACATTTATTCACAATAGTCTACCAACTGATGAATGCCTAGCAAACTGGTAAATTCATACAATGGAATATTACCTGGCCACAAACATGAATGAAGTACTGATACATGCTACAATGTCGATAAAACCTTGAGAACATATAAGTGGGAGAAGGCAGGAAAGGGGAGAACGAGGGACATCTGAAATAGTGTCAACAATAAAAAGACACATTATGATAAGTAAAAGAAATGAGTCAAAAAAGAACACATTCTGGCCCTGGCCGGTTTGGCTCAGTGGATGGAGTGTCAGCCTGTGGACTGAAGGGTTCTGGGTTCGATTCTGTTCACATGCCTGGGTTGCAGCTCGATCCCAGTATGTGGCGTGCAGGAGGTAATGGTTCTCTCTCATCATTGATGTTTCTATTGAGTTATGTTTCCTTTTCTATGAATTCTGTGTCCCAATACTTGAGCCATTCAAAAGAGAATGTTCCTGAAGCCAGGTTAAAATGGAATCGAACTCCCTTTTTAAAGTCTCAAACTGCCACTGGGCTCCTTATAGTGATGTGCTAGTAAATGTTTTGGCCTGGCCTGTGGGATCGGGCTGAAACTGGTTCTCCGACATCCCCTGAGGGGTCCCAGATTGCAAGAGGGTGCAGGCCAGGCCAAGGAACCCACCAGTGCATGATTAGGGCCAGGGAGGGACGTGGGAGTTTGGCCCTCTGGGGAGGGACCGAAGCAGAGTTGCAGGGTGTGTCTGGCCCATCTTGCTCAGTCCCAATCAGCTGGCCCCCAGCAGCAAGCTAACCTACCAGTCAGAGCATCTGCCCCCCTGGTGGTCAGTGGATGTCATAGCACTAAGCTATCGGCTGGAGCATCTGCCCTCTGGTGGTCAGTGCACGTCATAGTGAGTGGTTGAGTGGCCTTAACATATCATTAGCATATTATGCTTTGATTAGTTGAACGGACGACCAGACACATAGCATAATAGGCTTTTATTATATAGGATGTCCAGAATAGGAAAATCTATAGAGACAGATTAGTAGTAGCTAGTAGATTAATGGTTACCAGTGAATGGAGGGTTGGGGGAGTAAGGGGTAGCTGCTAATGGGAATGGGGCTTCTTTTTAAAATGATGAAGTGTTCTAGAATTAGTGGTGATGGCTGCATAACCTTGACTATACTAAAATTACTGACTTGTAAACTTTTTTAAAAGGGTGAATTTTATGGTCTTGAATTAATCTCAATAAAAATTGTTGGTTTTTTTTTATTTAAGAAAGAGCAACTTTAGAAGTCTTCAAAAACTTTTAATTTCAGTCTTATTTTGATGTTTACTACTTATGATAAAAACAATTTTCATTCTACATGAGCAAGTTTGCTTATATACTATAAAAAAATTACATGTTTATCTTTAAAAATGTTACCTGGCAGCCATCCTGGTTGATCCACTTGTGCTGCACTTCGTCTCTGGCAGAATCACTGAGGCCAGCATGATAAGCAAGAGCAGGGAGACCATTCTTCTGTAAGGTGTCAGCCATCGTGTCACATTCTCGCCTGGAGAGGCAGTAAATTATCCCGGAATCATCTGCCAAGAAATGAGGATTTGTAACATAAATAACAGCACAATCTGTATTATGTTCTTTGAAACATATGAAACATAAATAGACCTCCACAGTTTTCTTATAGTAGATAGCAGAATTCAAGCAAGGAGAACTCACGTGCACTGAAAATGTCAGGCTTTGACCTTTAATCCTATCCCTGCATATGACTCCTGAGGTGGACCTGGACAAACCCCGGGCTCTATTTCACACTGGCTACAAAATGGGAAGGCACCCTTACACAAGCTTTGTTGAAAACAAATGGCAATATCTATCAAAGAGCCCCAGAAATGCTTCTATCTTTGGACTCAAGTTTTCTTTTAGAAAACTAATATAGAAAATAAAGCAGTACAAGGACTTACACGAAGTTTTATTTGAATTTTGAAAATTAGAAAAATTTTAATGGCCAAAATTAGGAGGCCAAGACAGGAAATTATAAAATAATATATGGTATAATTGTCAAGTATTTTCTATGTTTTTAAAAAGACATGAGAAAATGCTTAAGATATAAAACCGGTTAAGGGTAGAAACACAACCTATAATAATAAAAGTATAATATGTTAATTAGACCGGACATCCTTCTGGGGCTGCTGCCTTGGCCCTCAGAGCTCACTACATGAATTTCGTGCACTGGGCCTCTAATACACACACACACACACACACACACACACATACACACACACTAGGTGTACCAGTTAATAATGTGGACTTTTTTCAATAGATGGAGTTACACATATGTTGATATATATGCGATTTGATATGTATGCTATTTTGTTATACTGACAGCAAGCTTCAAAATTTCATGTCAAATTTGCTGAAGGTGTTAACATCATAGATATTTTTATGCTTAAAAATGTTGAATTTGGTGCCAAAAAAAGTGCAATTGTGGGAAGTTTTAATTCATTACTTTATTTTGAAGAAAAAGTTATCATATACTTCAGGAAGATTATGGTAAACATGCTCCATCTCAAGATACTTGTGAATGCTGGTTAAACGCTTTAAAAGTGATGATTTCGATGTGACAGACAAAGAATGTCCAGGTCAACCGAAAAAGTTTGAAAACCAACAATTACAAACATTATTGGATGGAGATGCGTGTCAAACTGCTCAGCAAACAATTTCCAATAGTTTACAAGCAATGGGAAATGTTCTAAAGGAAGGAAAATGGGTGCCACATCAACTGAACGAAAGATAAATGGAAAACCGAAAAGTCATCAGCAAAATGTTGCTTCAATGACACGAAAGAAAGTCTTTTTTTGCATCGGATTGTGACTGGCGATGAAAAGTGGATTCATTTTGAGAATTCCAAGTGCACAAAATCATGGCTTGATCCAGGTCAACCATCAACATCAACTGCAAGGCCAAATCGCTTCAGAAAGAAGACAATGCTCTGTGTTTGGTGGGATCAGGAAGGTGGGGTGTAGGA